GCTATAGATGAACACGTTTGATCGTAGCTTCATGCCACCAACAAATGAAACAATTTATTTTACATTGAATATCCATATATTCAAAATACACCAACATAGCAAATTCTAAGGCCGTTTTTTTCATTTATCTAGTAATATACGGACGAAAACTATATATATATAATAGTAGAGAGGAAGACAATTATGTTTGGCTGCCATGTTTTTAATTCGTGCAATTTAATATGCGCCAAAACCTGTTTAAATCGAACAACAAGTTCTACATTATTTTAATTAACAGTTCAACGTACTTATCTCCGTTGCTGTTCCCTGTGTATTATCGTAAGAACTACGCCGTTAATATCCGATTTATATATTTTTTCGAATGGTATAGGATTATCATTTCCAAATATAAGAATTAGTCAAATAACACCCTCACAGCTGCCAAATTTTAGGTGACTTTGGATTACTGTAAAGTCAATCACATTGTTAATTATAGTTCTGATCATTCAAAATTACTCAAATTGTGTTATATATAATTCACAGTAGGCGGTAACTTCAACACCAACATTCAGAAATTTTACATTATTATACTACTTAATAATGAATCAATTCAAATTCTTACATTTTTTACTGTAATTACCATATTGAGTATTAGCTTATTTAATGTTACAATTAGTACACGCAATATAGTTACCGTTCTGCGATTCTCAGAACACATTCAATGACTTAGTGTGAAGCATTCCACCAATGACAATAGTCAGTCAACGCTTGTACCTTGAGCACATCTTTCTGCTCCCAATGGTCCTTTACTGGTCCCACGCTACTGCTCACTTTACAAATACTAATGGAATTGAATATATGGTAAAGAAGACATTCACAGGGGACCAGAAACAACGTATTGTATTGCAAGCAGCAGCGAGAATCCCTTTTTATCAGACTCTGCGCTCGATAAAATTACCCATACAGCTTGTCTCACCGGTACCAGGAGTTGACCTGTTAACAGTACATTTTCTAAACTCGTTTCTAATTTGGTGGTAATGCTATTTGACTTGCTCATATTGAAAAATCTATTTTCTACTTAGTTTACATAAAAAGTAGTGAGTAACAAATAATCGAACATATAATGCTTATATATATATTTTCTAGAAAATATTGCACTAAAAGGAACTGCAAGTCAAAGCAGCACTGCTTATAATGGACAGCTAACTATGCTATTGATGGAAATGATGATTCCATATATGGTGATAAAAGTTGCAGCCATACTGCAAAGGAACAGGGCGCTTGGTGGAAACTAGATTTGGAAGAATCATACACTGTATCTCAAGTGGTAATAACCAATCGACAAGATTGTTGTTGTAAGTATATACCAGTTAAACATAATATTACAAGAAATGAAATAATGTTATTTCGGAACTTATTTTTCGCCCCGTGTTTAAAATACAAATGTATACAATGTAAATCACAGACAAATATATATATATATAATATATTTATATTTCTTAATTTTTGTTGTGTGCATGATACACATTTGCTTAATTATGAAATATGTTCAGTTGATCCAATCAGAAATTCATTGAAATTGTGTACATGACATTATCCAGATTATAAATGCATATTCTGAATTTTCCAATGCATATAATTCAGTATATGTCATGTTGTGAAGTAAATAAATAAAATTACTGAATTTAAAAAAATCACTTTATATCAAGCACACACCCATAACCATGCTCTATACCCTTGTCCAATAACATTTGTATATGTAGTACTCCTTGAAGAACGTACATTTATATATTTCAGCTGAAAGAATTGATGGAGCAGTGGTGTTAATTGGTGACAATTCTGATATAAGCCAAAATGTCCAATGTGGAGATCAAATAGACTGGAATGCAAACACGTATGGAGAAAAGATCACATTTCAATGTCAACTAAACGGACGTTATGTTGCCGTACAACTGAAAGATCATAACAACTATCTACACCTGTGTGAAGTGGAGGTGTTTGGTGAGAAGCAATCATTACCGGGTAAGTAATATCACAGATGATAGATGTATGTGTTCAAGAATTGAGAAAAGTTGAGATTTTCGATCATCCAAATGATAAGTGGTAAAAAATCAACTATTGAAAAATAAATGTAACATAAAGAATAGCACAAACATGACAAGACGTATGTTTGGTTAAATGTGACATTCTTATAAGATTTAACCAATTCTATACTATGTTGCATTTAAATAGAAAATATTGCACTAAAAGGAACGGCAAGCCAAAGCAGCACTGCTTATGATGGACCAGCTAACTATGCTAATGATGGAAATGATGATTCCATATACGGTGATAAAAGTTGTAGCCATACTGCAAAGGAACAGGGCGCTTGGTGGAAACTAGATTTGGAAGAATCATACACTGTATCTCAAGTGGTAATAACCAATCGACAAGATTGTTGTTGTAAGTATATACCAGTTAAACATAATATTACAAGAAATGAAATAATGTTATTTCGGAACTTATTTTTCGCCCCGTGTTTAAAATACAAATGTATACAATGTAAATCACAGACAAATATATATATAATATATTTATATTTCTTAGTTTTTGTTGTGTGCATGATACACATTTGCTTAATTATGAAATATGTTCAGTTGATCCAATCAGAAATTCATTGAAATTGTGTACATGACATTATCCAGATTATGAATGCATATTCTGAATTTTCCAATGCATATAATTCAGTATATGTCATGTTGTGAAGTAAAAAAAATTACTGAATTTAAAAAAATCCCTTTATATCAAGCACACACCCATAACCATGCCTTATACCCTTGTCCAATAACATTTGTATATGTAGTACTCCTTGAAGAACGTACATTTATATATTTCAGCTGAAAGAATTGATGGAGCAGTGGTGTTAATTGGTGACAATTCAGATATAAGCCAAAATGTCCAATGTGGAGATCAAATAGACTGGAATGCAAACACGTATGGAGAAAAGATCACATTTCAATGTCAACTAAACGGACGTTATGTTGCCGTACAACTGAAAGATCATAACAACTATCTACACCTGTGTGAAGTGGAGGTGTTTGGTGAGAAGCAATCATTACCGGGTAAGTAATATCACAGATGATAGATGTATGTGTTCAAGAATTGAGAACAGTTGAGATTTTCGATCATCCAAATGATAAGTGGTAAAAAATCAACTATTGAAAAATAAATGTAATATGAAGAATAGCACAAACATGACAAGATGTATGTTTGGTTAAATGTGACATTCTTATAAGATTTAACCAATTCTATACTATGTTGCATTTAAATAGAAAATATTGCACTAAAAGGAACGGCAAGCCAAAGCAGCACTGGTTATGATGGACCAGCTAACTATGCTAATGATGGAATTGATGATTCCATATACGATGATAAAAGTTGTAGCCATACTGCAAAGGAACAGGGCGCTTGGTGGAAACTAGATTTGGAAGAATCATACACTGTATCTCAAGTGGTAATAACCAATCGACAAGATTGTTGTTGTAAGTATATCCCAGTTAAACATAATAATACTAAAAATGAAATAATGTTATTTCGGAACTTATTTTTCGCCCCGTGTTTAAAATAAAAATGTATACAATGTAAATCACAGATAAATATATATATAATATATTTATATCTCTAAATTTGTGTTGTGTGCATATGATACACATTTGCGTAATTATGAAATATGTTCAGTTGATCCAATCAGAAATTCATTGAAATTGTGTACATGACATTATCCAGGTTATGAATGCATATTCTGAATTTTCCAATGCATATAATTCAGTATATGTCATGTTGTGAAGTAAATAAAATTACTGAATTTATTAAAAAAAATCGCTTTATATCAAGCACACACCCATACCCATGCCTTATACCCTTGTTCAATAACATTTGTATATGCAGTACTCCTTGAAGAACGTACATTTATATATTTCAGCTGAAAGAATTGATGGAGCAGTGGTGTTAATTGGTGACAATTCTGATATAAGCCAAAATGTCCAATGTGGAGATCAAATAGACTGGAATGCAAACACGTATGGAGAAAAGATTACATTTCAATGTCAACTAAACGGACGTTATGTTGCCGTACAACTGAAAGATCATTACAACTATCTACACCTGTGTGAAGTGGAGGTGTTTGGTGAGAAGCAATCATTACCGGGTAAGTAATATCACAGATGATAGATGTATGTGTTCAAGAATTGAAAACAGTTGAGATTTTCGATCATCTAAATGATAAGTGGTAAAAAATCAACTATTGAAAAATAAATGTAATTTGATGAATAGCACAAACATGACAAGACGTATGTTTGGTTAAATGTGACATTCTTATAAGATTTAACCAATTCTATACTATGTTGCATTTAAATAGAAAATATTGCACTAAAAGGAACGGCAAGCCAAAGCAGCACTGCTTATGATGGACCAGCTAACTATGCTAATGATGGAAATGATGATTCCATATACGGTGATAAAAGTTGTAGCCATACTGCAAAGGAACAGGGCGCTTGGTGGAAACTGGATTTGGAAGAATCATACAATGTATCTCAAGTGGTAATAACCAATCGACAAGATTGTTGTTGTAAGTATATACCAGTTAAACATAATATTACAAGAAATGAAATAATGTTATT